TGAAGGAAGAGCTGTTCATGATTGAAAGGAACAAAACATGGGAGTTGGTTGATCGAACCCAAAACAGAAAGGTAATTGGAGTCAAGTGGGTGTACAAAACCAAGCTTAATGCTGATGGCTCAATCAACAAGCATAAAGCTAGACTAGTGGTCAAATGATATGCCTAAATACTTGGTGTGGACTACTCAGATACCTTCGCACCAGTAGCTAGACTCGATACCATCAGGCTCTTACTCACCGTTCCAGCACAAAAGAATTGGAAGCTGTACCAGTTAGCTGTCAAGTCAGCATTCTTGAATGGTTTTCTGCAGGAGGAGATTTATATAGAGCAATCGGAAGGCTATGTGAAGGAAGGAGAAGAAGATAAGGTCTATCTTCTTAAAAAGGGACTCTACGGATTGAAGCAAGCTCCAAGAGCTTGGTATAGTAGAATTGACGAACATTTGCAGAACTTGGGATTTGCTAAAAGCTTATCTGAATCAACATTGTATATCAAGCACAATAAAGCTGACATTCTTATCATCTCACTATATGTGGATGATCTACTCGTGACAAGAAACAACGGAAGTCTTGTGGAGCAGTTTAAGCAAGAGATGATGGAGGTTTTTGAGATGACCGATCTCGGTTTGATGACCTTCTTTCTTGGAATGGAAATTTAACAAAATAAACATGAAGTCTTCATCTGTCAGAAGAAATATGCCAAGGAGATTTTAAAGAAGTTTAAACTCGAAAAATGCAAAGAAATGAGCACTCCTATGAACCAAAAGGAAAAGCTATGTAAAGAAGATGGAACAGATAAGATTGATCAGGCATATTTCAGAAGTCTGATTAGCTGCTTCATGTATTTCACAGCAACTCGGCCTGACATTTTTAAATGCTGAAAGCATTTTGTCTCGATTTACGCACTATGCAAGCGAATGGCATCTCAGGACTGCAAAGAGGATGATTAGATATGTCAAAGGCACATGTGATTTTGGCATTAAATTCACAGAGGAGCAAAGAGTTCAAGCTGGTTGGTTTCTCAGATAGTGATTGGGGAGGTTCCATTGATGATACGAGGAGCACTTCAGGTTACTATTTCACACTTGGTTCTGGTGTTTTCTCATGGAGCTCAAAAAATGAGAAACTGTAGCTCAATCCACTGCTGACGCAAAGTTTCTTGCTGCAACAGCTGCTGTTAATCAAGAGTTGTGGCTGGAGAAGATTTTAAATGATCTTAACCTGAAGCAGAAGGAAAGCATGGAGATTCTTGTCGACAATCAAGCTGCTATTGCTATCTCTCATAATCCTGTGTTTCATGGGAAGACTAAGCATTTTAACATTATTCTTCTTAAGGGAAGTACAGAAAGATGGAGATGTTGTTCTTCTTTACAGCAAAACAGAAGATCAGATTGCAGATGTTTTCACCAAGCCACTGCCAGTTAGCAAGTTAGAATTTCTGAGGACAAAACTTGGCGTTTGCAGCTCCTAAAGCAAGGAGGAGTGTTACAAAACGTGTTTAGGACTGCTGATGTGGTGGTATTTAGTTGACTATTTCAAAGTTGTTCCTGTTTTTTGGTGTTGGTTATTTTTTTTTTTTGTTATTCATGTTTGTAATCGTGGGGTAGTCTTAGGACCATGATTTTAGTGGGTTGTTATTAATCAAGCTTTAAATTAATGTTTCTGATGTGCAAGAAATTAATTCAGTGTCTTTTGCTTCAAAATACATTGGTCTCAATTTCATTTGCTGCAGCAATACTTTTAAACTTCAACAAAGCTTTGTTTTTCTTTTCTCATTCTAAATATAACTCCAGAATCACATACGAGATTTTCTGGTGCAATCAAAAGAATTTTCAGCCCAGGTGAATTGTTGCTCCGTTACAAGCATTGCTTGGCATGGCTTCTGTTTACATATCCATCTGTCAAAGATGCTTCTGTTTTCTTTAGTACCCTGTATCCTGCTTTCTATATATGTTTAATTTTAATGGTTCATCGACCACAAGGAATGTCTTCCATTTGTTTTACTCCTCCCCGACCCCCAACCTTTTTGGGATCTTTCAGGTAATGGAATGTTTTTCTATTTGCTTTTTTTCCTCCTGCAATTTTTTCAAGTGATATTTTAAAATTAAGGACAAGTGTGGACACTTCAGTTCATGGTGACAACTTGTTTTTACATTTATAAAACCTTGGATGAATTCTGCGTTTGGTTGTCTTGGATGGAGTGTTCGACTTTTGGATGATTCATTTTACTTATCCTTTTTTCCTTAAGTCCTCTGGGTGGCAAAATGTTGAGTTTTTCCTTCTGATTCCCTTCCTTTATCAGTCCAATCTTTTGGGTTACAGTTGAGAAGTTATCCTGCTTTCTATATATGTTTAATTTTAATGGTTCATCGACCACAAGGAATGTCTTCCATTTGTTTTACTCCTCCCCGACCCCCAACCTTTTTGGGATCTTTCAGGTAATGGAATGTTTTTCTTTTTGCTTTTTTTTTCCTCCTGCAATTTTTTCAAGTGATACTTTAGAATTAAGGACAAGTGTGGACACTTCAGTTCATGGTGACAATTTGTTTTTACATTTATAAAACCTTGGATGAATTCTGTGTTTGGTTGTCTTGGATGGAGTGTTCGACTTTTGGATGATTCATTTTACTTATCCTTTTTTCCTTAAGTCCTCTGGGTGGCAAAATGTTGAGTTTTTCCTTCTGATTCCCTTCCTTTATCAGTCCAATCTTTTGGGTTACAGTTGAGAAGTCCAAGATAAGCATGAAAGAAAAATCTCATTCGGGTTCTGCATGCATCTTTTTTATGTTTGTAAAAGACTTGTGCCCTTTGTTCATCTTGGATGGAAATGCATAGTTTGAGGTTAGGATTCATTTATAATGAATTTGATTGAGAAATTCGAAAATGACTAATACTGCTTGAAGCTGTCTCTCCTGATATCAGAGAGAAGTTTGATTTTATGTACTTTTTCTTCCATAATATAGTTCAGTACTATTAAATCCTATACAGAAAATGCCATTAGCATTTTTCATGAAAGTTATCTGGTCTTTTGATCTTGCTCTATTGGCATGTTGCAAATCTTATTTCAATTATAAAACCATGGTGCAGGACAACAAAGATCTATATGCAGAGGAGGCTGCTGCCCATCGAGAAAGGGAGCGACAACGTATGCTTTGCATTCCAGGCCTAATTGCACCCAGTGAGATACAAGATGAGATGGTGGACTCATAACTGTCGGAAAATCTTTCTGCATAAACAAGTATCACGGATTTTAACTTGTCGGGGTTGGTCACTTGGAGTTCACTCCAAGATCTGATTTGTATTTGAAGTGATGACCAGTGGAGGCACCACGATCAGGCACCATGGATTTGCTGCTCAAGGAAACATTTGTTGGGTGTAGAGTAATTAAATTATAATTTAGGGAATACAGCTTGTGACAATGTAATTGAGGAATGTTTGAACTGACTGCTGAAATGGCCTCACCAGGTAGCGATCAGCAATTTAAAATAGATCTAATATGTACTACGTCACAGGTTGTGCAGAAATCGGGTTTGTTTCATTTTTTTATATAACAATTCTGTATTTCAGAATTCAGGTATGCTATGTTACTTCTTTTTTATGTGTTTATCGCAACTTGTATTGATGAGATCATGAGAAAGTGATCCTCTCAATGTTGTATTTATTCCATTTGGTGCCAGCTCTATATTTTTTTTTGGGCAAAAGTTGTATCCCATTTGGTGTCAGTTCTATATATTTTTTCGGGCAAAAGTTATTCGAATTTTGGTTCAATGGTTATAATTCAATAGTTTCAATACATTTTCATTAGTTGCTTATTTTTACAATTTCGAAGCAATCTTTGATCTGAATTTGTTGTTTATGATTAAAGGTTGTTGCTTTAAGGATGATTTTAGTGTTTCGGAATTTGTTGGCCATTCTTTGTCCAAGGACGGACCCAAACAACTCTTCTACACTACCAGAAGGATGAATCACACAATTAATATAGACAAGGGTGAGAGATTTGTTTTTGGCCTTTTTTTTATCAAAGCATGGGCCCCACATACATGAATCTCTTCTGGTAAGATTCTGTGAGGATATTTTTGTACAAATAGAATAATACGAGCCCAAAACCTGTAAATTTTTCTAAAAGCAGAGAATTACAAAGTTTGCTGTTCGAACGTGCGTCTGAGATTTTAATGAGAAGCATGTTGGTCCATAATTGTGCTTTACAGCTGAGACAAAGCACAAGCAATGGCATCTGTGTACAAAAGAGTCGGCTTTCTCGTACAATATTCGGTATGGCACGAGAAAACCAAGCTTTGCTTGGACAGGGTTCAGTTCATCATCCATTCGAATTGGCAGCGCATTCTTTGCATTCATCATGCACGATGCCGAGTCTTCCTCGACTTCTTTGCATTCATCATCTATTTGAAAGTGTGTCTTTCCTAACTAAAGCATCCACTGACGGGGGAAAGAAAAAAGAAAAAGAAAAATGCTGCTGCCCAGGTGAAAGTTAAAATTCAACGGTTTCTAGATGTTCTCGGGTCCGGGAATGCTGAAATACTTTTCATGGTTTGCACGTCCCGTGTTCTAACATTGTGGGCCCCAAATTCCGTAATCTACGCAATTAAGGGCTTGTTTGAACTACATTATTCCAAAAAAATGCATTCTTAAACAGTAATTTGATATTATTTCAATCACATTTTTCAATAAAATAATATTACACGCAAATCAAAAAAATTTCCTTATTTTTTAACCACACATTTCCCATCAATACACTATTCAAGAATGCATTATTACCAAAATAATGTGGCTCAAGCACCCCCTAAAAGTTTAAAACGCCACATACCTTGACCTGTCCCCCTTGCATCCCAAATCATTTTCTTTCTTTTTCTCCCAAGCAAATAAACAACCATCAGCAGATTTGGATGATCGATTTTCCCAAACGAATACTATTTGAGATGGATACAGTAACATCTAGCTAGTTAAATCGAATCAATACCTCATCGCATACTGACTAAAGATTAAAATATATTTCAATATGCTATTGCGGATAAGTGTGCAACAGTTGAATCATATCTGGAGATTAAATGAGACAAAATTAAAGTTGAGTTATACAAAACATTTTAGCCAAATAGTGGGTCGTACACTAGATTATTCCAAGAATAGAGATACACGCACAAGACGTGAAAAGGGAAAACAAGAAGAAGCTAACTGCAATAATCAATTAAGAAAAGAGATGAGGATTTGTACTATTGGGACGTCTACACTCACAAGTGCACGAGCTTCTTGATTCTTTCACCACGCGCTGCGATCTCCGTACATGAAGCTTCATATTCACCAACTTACCGGCCATCTGTTCACACCACCAGAAATCAAATTATTAGTTTCGAACTTAGAAGCCTGCCTAGAAGACTTTTATTTCACATCTCGGATATTGAAACACCAGTATAATAAAAAGTACTTAAGGAATCAAAATCTAAGCAAGCTACAAAATACCGGCAAGCTATGAAGAGAGACAGTCCACCCCCAACCAAACAAGAACACGCTCAATGCAAATGATTCTTTTTATCATATTATCAGACTACCAGTATTGCCATTTTTCATGATTATTGATGTTCGTGAGGCCTACTGCATGTTTTTTAGATATTTAAGAAAGATGCTACATTATATATCCATACTTTATCTCCATTTCTCACTTCTTAAGAAAACTCAATATGAAAGTATAAACATTCAGAATCACATTGATGCCTTTCTAACAGTGGTCAATACTAATTGTCTAAATCTAGGGTACACCAAAAAAATTATCCCTTTTATTACATAAAGTGACTGCTCATCCATCCCCTCTAAAGTAGGGAGAGAGAAAATCTAGAACTTAAAAAGAGACACCCATAAGAGGGGTCCATCCAGTATATTCTACTCTAATACAAGGGGCCAACACCAAGTCATCAGTCCTACCGATAAAATTCAGACATTCAAATGTTTAGTATCCAACAATGGTACTGTCAACTGTGTCAAAAACCAACTCTTCATACTGCACTTCTTGTACAAACATTTTACACATTGAGGCAACAATAGCACAAGATAATGATGGCAGCATATTAAGATTGAATATAGATAGAGTGACACACCATTCTCCAAACTAAGTCTTCCGGCCCCATTGGTTGAGCAGGATGAGAATACAAGAAATGTCTAGAGTGCTGCAATGTAAAGACATTTAAACTCAATTCAGTTTCACGTTGTTTACCAACTTAGATCCACCATTCAAAAATGAATCAAAGTCGCTGAAAACATGGTGTCCAAGGATTGGAATTTTGATTCATATATTATAAATGGTGTAAGAAGAAATCACTGCAAACCTAATTCCAATACGACTTAAAAGTTGAAGCATGGGGAGTGAGATTAGCTATCTTAACAATTTGGAGATGCACATACCTTGACTAAATTAAATTGAATCTCTCTAATTTGAGCAAGACTAACACTTCGCAGAAATGTCAAGAGCCATCCTGGCTGCATTGCATCACCAGAAGAAACAAATAAAGCTATCTGCAAGTAAAACAATAGCTTCTTTCACCAAACAAAAGCCTTGTGAAGTATCTTCTTAATGTAGAAAAATGTAAGATACAGTTCTTTAACAAAGCTGCAGGTTAAACAGAGGAAGTTATATTCATGTGGGGGAAATCTTCTCAAAGCCATCTAATTAATTTCTTTAATCAACTTCTGAAATCCTAGCCCCTGTTTGAGCCCCATTTTTGCAAGAATGCATTTTTTTAAAACTCATTTTTAACCGCATATTCTTCTATAAAATAATTATACACATATTTCAAAAAAATTTCCTTACTTTCTAACCATACGTTCTCCAAAAAAAAAAAAAACCACTATTCCATAATACATTTTATCCCAAAAATGGGAACCAAACGGGGCCTAATATTTCTTTCAAGTACAGAATCGAAAAACTGAAATTTTAGATTAAGAATATCCTATGCCGACCCTTTCTATTCCAATTCATCAACTCAAGTCATTAGTGTAGGAGATGCATTGAACAATTTGAATGGCCAAACCTTGAACAATACAGGCATACCTTCCGATAGTCAAGTATTCCCTCAAAAGGAAGCTCCAGTTCATCACTAATTACAACAGGAATGCACCCGCTGACGATTGCATCAAACAATCTAGCGGACGAAGGGGTGTCACCAGCCGGATTAAGGCAAAATACAGATCTGCTCACCAATGAAGCAACTAAATAGATCAGAAAACACTTTTTTTATTGACTACAACACTAAAACATCATTAGGCATAAAATTCAAAAATTACTTTCTCATGCCACTTTGAGCTGCTGCTTTTCCTGCCTCTCCAGCACTGCCCTCCTCTATAACCACATCATCAGCACTCCTAAGTTCTGTCACAAGTTTAGCACGGATTTTCCCACCCTGGAAGCATACAAATTAAATTCAAAGCAGTTGACTGACAAAGACAGGAAATGAAATAAATACATTCCAGTCCCAAATCCCAATGAATTGGATTGCTAGGGCACTTCAATACAACAACCTTACTGCTCCCATAACCCAACCCACCCCCTCTCACATCCTTCGTTACCCCATCTGAATCACCATAGACAGGCTTTTACCAGGAAAATTAGAACCATCAAAACAGAAAAAAAAAAAAAAAAAATTTCTTGATCCAAGGGACAAATCTTACAGCATTTCGTTTCAGCCTCCCACGGAAAAATAGCAGTATGTTTCTCTTTGAATCCAAAACGCATTTTGAATCACACAAATCGACATTGGCAACATATGGAAGTATTAAGTCTTTTTCAAGGTGAACTTGTCCAGGCTTGTACCTTGAAAAGCCAAAAACAGTTACATATCAGGGGCAATAAATTCATATATTTAGTATACTACCCTCAAGTCAAATGCTCACCAGTTTCCTGTTGAATCCATATCTGGAAGGAGCCAAATCGCATTCTTCATAAATTTGCGAACTGATTTAAATGACCAAGGGTGGTGAACTGGAAGTATGTGATCTCTGCCCTCAGACCGCTTCCATGCTGGCTGGTCTGTGACCCACTTCAGAGCTTCCTACATTCACAAATTGCAAAATATTTCTTCCAGTTGTATGATTAGGACAAATCTGGACTTTAATAATTTTACAGCAATTGCTTGATTAGAGAGATAAACAGGTCAAGTAAAGTTCTAAGAGAAGTGTTGGTGTAAATATATTCAACAATGTCACAGGACAATATCTCACAGAATCTGTTTTCCAGTCCTTATCAAAGAATCTATTATTTGGCCTTACTTTCTAAAATTCAAGATATCTGGCATCATCATATCATACATTTATAATTAGATACCTAGAGATACAGATAGAGAGAAACCCCTCTATGCAAACAAATAATTTGCACCTACAGACACTTTAAAGTCCCGAAAGAAAGTCATCACTACATGATCAACACACTCTCAGCATCCTCTTGGATCTCATCACATGAAAAATATATACTTCAGACAATGCCAAGACATGTTAAATCTTAGGCATGCATAACTTAATAACAACAAAAAGAACACCAATAGAAGATGGATTATTTACATTCAAAATGGAACCTTTATAATGATTATCGGTAGCTTAGCTTCCTGTCAAATAGTATATTTTAGATTGTATTAAGAGGAGAGTTTGGAGACTTCAGAAATTACCCTTACATTGCATAAAATTTTATAAGAGATTAAGCAACTGACAGAATGTTATATACCAGTACAGGATATCATCGAATAATTTTTGCCGAGAAGTGGAAGTTTCCAATTGACAACTTTTATAATCAATTGCAAGAGATAAACCATTAAAAATGCACAAACTCACTACCTGAGTGGGTGTATTAATATTCTAGGTAATTCAATAATGGTTTCCATTGTTAGTAACTTAGTATAATAATTGCAAGATTCATAACCAAGCAAATTAAAAAGAGGAAAGACTAAAAGGAATAAGTATTATGGGGAACGCACTCACACCCTGTAAAGCGCCTTGCATTGTTGTTTCTCCAGCAAGAAGAAGCTAATCGTAGTGAAAAATGGAATGTAGAAAAAGTCAGCTTCCTCCTGCTTGTTAACTCTAACGACATTCTTCAACAACCTTTCAGATTCGGGCGCTATCAAATCGGCCCATAACCAGTAATCAATTGAATGCTACAACAAAAAATCACCAACCCATATTTAAAATAAAAATCAAATAAAAAAAACCTCACGTGAAATCGTTAAAAATAACATTCGGAATTAAAAATAAAGAATTACTTGTTCGATTAGTCGGTGAACAGGGCTACCATTGGAAGTCAGATTATTCGTTTCTTTATACGTATTTCGAAACAGCCACAGCAAATCATAAGTAAATTTCGACGGCATATTATAAACATAAACCCTAATAGGTGAAGAAAGGGGATAAAACGAATCATCATAAAGCCTCTCAGTCTGTTTTCGTGAAATCAAATCATCCAGTTTTCCAGCATCTTGTTGGGTCACTGTAGCAGTCACCGTATCATCGGGAAGTGTAGGGCGAGATTTGGAGTTGATCAGGAATTTCTCGAGGGAGGATACGAAGGAGTAATCGACATTAGGGTTTAGAGTGGAGTGGATCTTGCGTGGAAATGTTGGGGAAGGGGAGAAAATGTAGAAGAGGATAGAGAAAGCCAAGAGTAAGAGTGTGAAGAGAATAAGCGGAGATCGAAGAGATTTGGGGGCGGCGGAATGGTGTCTTCCGGCCATATCCATTCACTGAATACGTACAATGGATGCCATCAACTCAAACACTATACTATTGCTGCTGAATCTGTAAGCGAAGAACTGAACAAACATTTCACACTCTAACCAATAATCACTAAACTTTAGACTTGATTACTACTTGCTCACTCATCTTTCACAAATTACTGAATACTTACTCATCTTTTCATATAATTACTCATTCACCACTCGTCTCTTCAAATAATTGGGTGACTTTTACGACAAATTTTCGACAACTTTCGACCACAAAGAATGTCGAATTTTGATACCGTTGGAAAGCCCACGATATCCTCTTCAATTACCACCTAAAATCTCATTATAACTCCAAGGGATTCGATCGAAAAATTGCCTTAAAAGTTGCCCAAAAATTTTGAAAATCTGCCCAGATTTTCAGATTTTTTGGGCGACTTTTAAGGCAATTTTTTGGCAACTTTCGACCATCAAAACTATCGAATTTTGATACCATTGGAAAGTCCACAATGTCCTCTTCAATTACCATCTAAAATTTTCCCATAACTCCAAAGGATTCGGTCGGAATAAACCCACAAAATCAGCATCTTGAAAAGACGAAAATCTGGACAAAGTTCGGGATGCTGACTTTGTGGGTTTATTCCGACCGAATCCTTTGAAGTT